ATCAAGTAGAATTAGCAAATAATACAATTCTCACTGTTTATACATGTTGGCATTTTACCCTCAGGTGTAACTCAAACTTTAATTGTGGAACAACTTACACGTTTGTCATCCATCACTGAGGACACAGATTTTGGTGATATCATGTACCCAGCTTCAACCTGACCATATGTCCAATCAGCAGCAGTAATTGGAAATACCTGTTTGGATCGTTTACCATCTAACAAGATCAGGCAGTTCTGCAGTTTTATTATGACTCAGTTCACTTCCCTGCAAAGACTGAAACCATTTTTGGATGGAGCCGATTTTCATGGCAACGTCTGTCAACAATCATCTTCAGTCATTTCAAGGTTATGACCAATTTGCAAGGAATAATACATCTGTTTCACACACACACACACACACACACACACACACACACACACATCAGTCCTGAAAACCACAAACATATAGACATTAACTAAATAGATTTTGCCTGTTTTGCGTCCACTTAATGTTGAGGCCGGCCACAGTAATTATTAGATATGGATAAAAGAGTTCAGAAAACAAGAAAAAAATGCAATACATGGATACTTAAAAAGAAAAAAACTTGCAAATATTCCTCTCCCTCAGAGACAGTTTAAGAGGGACCTTTATTGTAGTACAATCTACAATACAATGAGTGAGTCAGTACTGCTCAGACTGGGTAGAAGCAGACTCGTGTCCGTTTATATCTTCTAACTTTTAACTGTAGATGAGCCCCTTTCAGGCTGACATTTAAGCACTCAGGGCTCCGATATGTTTGACTTTGATTAGGTAACACATGTTCTTTTAAGTGCATGTGCGTACGTCTCAGTGTGTGGTCACTTCTGCTTTGATGAAAACTAATGCGCTCCTGGGGATTGGGTCAGATTAACATAATTGTAGTTAATTGCCACGGAAACGGCCTGTGAGGTTCATCTGTGGCATTGGCAGAGGAAAAGATGTTCCTGTGTGGATGCTGGAGTCAGGGGTCCTTTCTCTCTGAACATGGTTAAACACAATATACACGGATGCTCTAAAGAGCTCAGAAAGACATAATAGAATTTTCCACATTTTACTGCACATTAATGCACGGCACACACATACACAGACTACAATGCACATCTGGATGTGAACAGTACAGTGCACACGCTTTACAGTGAGCTAACAGGATCACACACTGTGTCCGTGAAAGATTAGCAAATCATCAGCTAAATACTGAAACTGTCATATTTAATTAATCCATAAAGGGCTTAAATTTATTGGACAGTCGCTGAAGCAGAGGTCTGTCCACCGCCCTCACAACTTAAATTGCATTATAAAGCAAAGCTATTTCTAAATTCCTCTGGCAAACACATTAATGATGATTGATTCAGGCCTCGATTCGAATGAGTAAGTTTTTATTTTACTGCTTGCTGCGTCAGTGCTTTGGGGTACAAAAGAGTTGGTGCACTGAAAAGCAGATTAAGAGGTCTTTTGTTAAAATGCCCACTGCCACTGACATGCGCTTAAAACACACAAGACTGAGGACAATGCTTCTAATTATTATTAACTATATCTAACCATTACTTAAAGCTGCTATACTCAGTGTTTTTGTATTAATGATAAATGAAATCATCATGTGCAATGTGAAATAGGTCACGTAGTAAAAAAACAAAAAAAAAACCCACAGGCGTTTCATCAGGCTCTGCACTCCCTTAAGTTCTTCAGTGAAGTTTTGGTTTTTCTACCCACAACTTTAGGGTTTGTGTTCACTCTCAATAGTCTCATTCGTTCCACCTTGAAGGATTATTGATTTCCAACATTAAATCTTGGTCAATTTAATATGGCTTTTTCCACAGGAATTTACAAAAACAGACTTACATGTCAAAGTGAATACAGACATTAATTTGTTAAAAAAAATACACAGTGTTAAATAAGTGACTGCATACATATTTTCATCCTTGAAGTCAGTAGTTACTTGATGGCTGCACTTACTGCATTGAAATAGAAAAAGAAAGTCTTTATTGACATTACACAAGTACAATGAAATTTCAGAGCTCTAGGCTCTGACTCGGCCACTATAGAACATTCACCATGTTGTCTTTAAACCCTTTCTGTGTAGCTCTGGCTGTATGCGTGCTCTATGTCTTGCTTGACAACAAATCCAAGTCAAGTCTCATTCATTTTACCCACTACCTTTACAAACCTTCCAGGGCCTGGTGCTGAGAATCGTCCCCACATCATGATGTTGCCAACACCATGCTTCATAGTGGAGATGGTATGTTTGTGATGATGTGCAATGTTTGCTGTGTAGTCCAATCACCAAAAGGTCCATTTTTATGTCGTCCCTGATTCCCCAGGGATGGAACCTTCCAGATACAGGTGTTTTTATACTGCAGTCAATTTAGACACATTCACTACAATCACTTGATCTTCATTTCACTAATGTTGTGACACAAATCCTTGTCAAAAAAAGTTGAAAAACAATAACTGGGAAAACTCTTAATACTTTTCTATAGGTGATATATATTTAGAAGTACTGACATTGGTCAGTGACTGCTGAATGTATTCAACATGCTTAATGAGGTAATTAAACATCAGTGTTGTACTTACAGCTTGTTGTGATTCATTGAGTGGTCCAACAATCAGTTAATGCAGATTGAAATATGACCCATTGTAGCACAAATGTGAAACATAATTTACCTCACACAAGGCATTTAAAATCCCTCTCCAGCCATTGTTTAAACACCTAAAAACTCATCTCTGTGTATCAAGTTTTTTAATCAAAATAATTCCTTCTTGTTTTAAAAGTGGATTAGATGTAACTCATTAGTACACGATACATCAGTGCTTCCTCCAGCATGTGAAGATGTATGAAGTCCCCACGTTACACAACAGCAAATTGTAATATTGGAGTAATTCTAAATTAGTGTTTTGGAGATTGTCATGAGCAGTTTTAAGGTGGAAATACTCAGCAATGGCATTGACTGCTTATTTCACTCATGAGGTGTCTTCAAGCATATAAAGGACATCATATGGACATGTTAATAGGTAAAATAATGTCATTTTCACCTGAGGGGGTCATTAACTGCTCTTTCATAATTACATTTTGTGTCTGCAACAGAATTACCATTTAGCAAGTGACTGTCAAATTCAAAAATCAATAGATTGATCTTTAAATTGAGTTGAAGGCCATTTTATATTTGCAGTGACTTTCTTGGTGTGCTTCCTGTGCATACCCTGTTATTGTATTAACTGTTTTTCTTCACAGGGCTGATTGGTTATGACAAGTCTAATTTACATCTGAGAACTAGAACAAATAGTGAAACTCCTGTTCCTTCTTAGTACATGGAGCTCAGTCCATTCCCTCTTCTGGTTATCCAGGCTTGGGTCACAGTCGCAGCATTCCAGCCATTTGTCTTCCCAGTAAACCCTGACTAAAGTCTAATCAGCCAGAGAAATTGGAAACACCCCAGTGGATGTGTGGAGTCTTAAGGTGCACAAAAATGTACTGAGGCTACTTTTATATTGCAAGCCTGGATGCTCAAAAGAATTTTTCAATGACATCCAAACTTGTGTGTTGATGCTTCATGCTTATGATGTATGTATCCAGAGTAAACACAGCTGAGGTCTTACACTGCCACACATGCACAGATTTAACTGAAACGTGAGCCGCATGCATACACAAAAAGAACACCATCACAACTGCAGTTAAATCACAGATGTGGATGACTTAGCTGTAAATATGCACCTTAATCACTGCAGTTTTTCTCCTCCATCAGGCCGTGTGGGATAGATAGTCCTGCATAGATTTCAACAGAACTCTGTCAGTGCAGAACAGCGGTAAAAATATTATAAGCAGACTTTTACTCAGCAGACTTCTTCTAATCCTGTCTCTGACCATGCTCATAGTATGATTTACATTTTTTAACTTTTGTTTTACACTTTTAGTTTTGCTTTCACTCGCTGTTTTTCACTCTGTGTTTACTTACATTTTCTGTCTGTGTTTGCTTTAGTTTAGCCACTAAAACAACTTGGTTATATTTCGAAAAAGGGGAATGGTTTGGACTGCCTTCACCCTAAGTCAGCTGGGATAGGCTCCAGCTCCCCTGCAACCCTAATAAGGATTAAGCGGTGTGTAGATAATGGATGGATGGAATGGTTTGGAATAAAAACACCATGTTGCTGCATACAGGGTGACGACTCCAGCAAAGATTTCATATACACTTATTCCCACCACCATGAGAAATTGTTGATGTCATCAGAGCCAAATCTTCCAGAGCTTCCTTGCTGTATGATCCAAATCTTCAGCAAAACTTGTCACTTTCACTGTGTGTGCTGGGCTGCAAATGGACGTCTGTGGAGGGTTTCATGCAACCTCTTGTGGACTTGGGAAAAATGATGACAGTATGCAAATAAGCAAAGAAATTCAATCTGACATTTTTGGCTATTTTTGCATAGAGTTGGGTCAGACCTTGGGCTGCATTCACAAGTGGCTAAGATCTGATCCATGCTGAAAATAATCTGTTATTGTTTGTTGACACAAAAGTTAAAATAACAAATAAATATAAATAAATAAATAAATAAACTGATCTGATCTGAATCATTTAAAAGACACAAAAAATCGGATTCAGACTATAGCAATATATAAAACAACCACTGGATGTTGTCTGAGCAGCAGGGAGTGGTCACTGTAAATAGTAATACCTTACTGTGACATGTTGAATCGATGCTATCAAGAAGACAAAAATGGCAGCTTTAATCAAATGATACCTATTTTTAAACCAACACATTCCAACATTATTCACCATTTTGTCCCTACAGTCAGAATCAAAGACAGACACTGACTTTCTCATACCAGAACAAGAGGATTAACTGATAACATTGATGGCTGCAAGGTCTCTGAATCTTCATATGTCTGAGTGACTTCACTTAACCGGCTAGAAATAATTGTAGTGGTAGTGGTGGTTTCTGTGATTCACCACAATCCATTTCAGAATACACTGTGTGTGTCCTTGTAGGTACTATGTGTGTGTGGCCATCCTGATCTACTTCCTTCCACTGCTGGTGATGGGTTGTGCTTATCTGGTGGTGGGACTGACGCTCTGGGCCAGTGAGATCCCTGGAGACTCCTCTGACCGCTACAAGGAGCAGCTGACTGCCAAACGCAAGGTAACCTGCACTTTAGCTTTCAGTTTTGGATTCCTAACCAGCATAATCAAAATAGTTATCTTGTATTGTGTCTCTGAACAGGACAGGGTTGAAATTTTCATGCCGACTTGTGTTTTTTCTTTCGATGACAAAATATTCATCACAACTCTATAAACCTGCTTTCATCCTTTTTGTTGTTGGTTTTCCAGCCCACCTGTTGTCATTTTCAGTCCACCTCAGTTTGCCGTGTATATCGTCAGCTCTCCTTTTCCCACTCATCTGTTTTTCTATTTTTCAGTCATCTCTCACAGCCAGTGCTTGCCTGGTATGTTCACAGTTTCAGTTTTGTGGAGAACACTTTCCTAATGAACACACTTGCAGAGACATGCAGAGAACATGAAATGTAATCAATATGTGTGCCCTGATTAGATCACTCTCTGCAGGTAAGTCTGACATTTAATCAGATACATTTTGGTAACTTTCGTAGTTTATTTAATTCTGTTCTGCTTCGGTATGCTGTATTTTTTTGTATGATCGTGTTGTTTTATGAATGGCAGGTCATCTACCTCTGAAACATCTTTACAACTTTTCTATAGGCACATATGGTTCCCAAACAAAGCTGTTCAGAAGTCACCTGACCAGATTTTGACTGTTGGTTTGGATCACTTTAAATTCTAGAAAATCTTTTAATCAACTGACATTCACATGAGCCTCAGTTGTGCTTTGTAAATGTATGCTAACATAACATGGAAAACAATACAGTCCCCATCAGCCACAACATAAAGCCACTGTGTCCCATCAGCATGTCAGCATTGATGCTGAGAACATACAAGGAGGCATTTAGAGCACCGCTATACTTGGACTTAAAAAAAAAAAAAACAGATCTTACAATTAAACATAACAAATTTTAAAAAAAATAATAAAACATCAAAAGATTTTTGAAGCTTAAAAATAATGATTTAAGATTGTACTGGTACATAAGAGACAGTGAGATCATAAAATCTCTTGGAATCATAGTTCGTTCTTTTTCATTTCACAGCATCCTTAACCTCGTTTGCACAAATTTAAAACGTGCATGTAATACAGCCTCTGCTCTAATGAAGCAGCCTCACATGTCTGATGCGTCCATCCATATTATGGTCAGTTCATTGTCAGCAAGCGCTGTCTGTTATTGACAGCGCTAATGATGTGTCTGTGTGCATCACATTTTAATTTTGCCAGACAGAAAGTTCAAAGCACCTGAGCTTGTTAAAGAAAAGAAAAGGTGACTGCTGATTCCTCAGTGGAGACAATCAACGTAGGGCAGTGTGTCTCATCATCAAGAGATTAGAGATCAATCAAGAAACTGACAATGCCCACTGGTGCACTGTTGATTGATGATTTACTTGGGCACATTTTACAAGTACTATATCTTATTTATGAAGCTGCTGTTACTGCTACTTCTTCTGACAGGGCCATTGTACTGAGATTCGTGGCATTTTGACAGTAAAATACAACCTGTAGGCTTTTTGCACTATTAAATAAATACAGATTTGTCATTTCCTATCCCTTCAGGTTTCTCCTATCCAGTCTTAGATGTGTATGGATGCGGGTGCAGGTCCATGTGAAATAGGGAAGGAAAACAAAGAAAATGACAAGACATACTTGTGCTGTCATGTTTCCAACAGGTGGTGAAGATGATGATTGTGGTGGTTTGTACGTTTGCCATCTGTTGGCTGCCCTACCATGTCTACTTTCTCCTGCATCAGTTCTTCCCTGACATGTTTGAAGAACAGTTCATCCAGCAGGTCTACCTGGCCATCATGTGGTTGGCCATGAGCTCCACCATGTACAACCCCATCATCTACTGCTGCCTCAATGACAGGTCGGTCAGCATCTACACACATGTATGCACACAAATACACTGGTGCTCCAATATTGACCTCAGCTTCAGAGGAAACTTCAATTCGACACTTTGAAACAGAAGCTGCACATTTGATCATATTCTAATGAGAGGCATAACTACAAGTTTCTACTTCAGGAAACTCCGGGAACCACAAGTAAACCTTCAGTCTGAGGGCAAAGGGCTCTGTTAGGATGATGTGGGACAATCAGCTCTTTAAGATAAGATGGAGCTGGTCATTAAGACTTTTGTATGTTAGAAGCAGGATTTGAAATTCTATCCTGGATTTTACAGGGAGCCAATGAAGAGAATCTAATACAGGAAAAAGAAGATCTCGCTTACTGGTTCCTGTCAGATCAGCTGGAGGGTTTTTAAGAGAATTATTAGTGCATGCTAATAATAGGGAAGTACAATAGTCCAACCTAACCAATGAAATGAATAAAATCCAAATAGGGCAAACAGTATTCCAACTTGCCTGATAAACTATGAAAGAAACACAAAAGAAAACAACTATCTTCCAACCTAAACTGAAACACAAAAGCAGCAGCTCCCGTGCTCTGAACAGAAAAATCCCTATCTCAGTGTGGGTGTGTTGGAAAAGCTAAGCCTGGCTCAGTCTGCAGGCAATTAAATGAGTATACTCATTACACAAATCATAGGATCCACTTGTAAGTGGCTACAGAGCACAAAGGCAGCAAGAACAAAAACAGCAAATTCATACAGAAAAATATTAAGTTGCTTGCAAGAGTTACACAGAAAACACACATATATTCACAGCCACCAAGACTGATGGGTTGGATGCACCTTTACATCCGGATGAAATGATAGCTGCAGCTTGATAGGGGCGGTCAGCAGTCAGTCAGTCGGTCAGGAAAGTAAATGAGGAGAAGAACAAGTGCTGGAGCTCCTGTCCGGTCAGCCAGGACGAGGGGCAGGATGTGGAGAATATGCAGGAATCAATCCCAGTCAGGAGACCTCACAAACCAATATCCTGACCTATGCATGCATATCTGTAAGCTGTGATGCAATTTAATGGCTTAGAGTTATGTAGAAAAAAAAAGTCCCCTCCTGTAGAGTCGTCGTGAAAGGGAACGTTAGTTATAGAGAACAAAATAGTTTATTGTGCCGGGCAACAAACATGTTTATTTTTGCTGTAAAGTCAGACATGTTAACATGGACTCAACAAGGATTATGTGGCTTCCGGCGCGAGCCTCAAGTGGACATTAGAGGAACTACAGTTTTTAATCGCTTCTTTTTTAGCCCCAGAGGTTAAAATGTAAAATTCCTGACACTGGAGCTAAATAAGTTTTAGTTTACACATTATCAGGTTCATCCTTCAGCCCACCGCATGACACATCAGCAAATTAGACGATAGTTGTTCTCCTTACTAAGAAGCCTACTCAGTCCTTCTAAACAGATATTTATGACACAAAAACCATCTGAAAACTAACTATTCAACACTATCAATGGACAGCTATCAAAATAAGGCTTTTGTTATCTTTGTGAACTATCTACTGTCTTACAAAAATATTAGTTTAAAACTCAGCTGATGCTACAAAGCAGCCTACAGTAAAAGGTCAGTCCTATTCATGAACTTTGATCTAATTCAAACATGATTTCTTTTAAGAAGTAACAGCCCTTGTGCACCATTACAGCATGTATTTTCTTTTTTAGAATATGAGTTTCTATTTTATTTTCTTTTGTATGCAGTCCATTGATCCGCTATTCAACTTATAGTTTACCACAGAAATATAAAAGAAAAATCTGAATGCCTAGAAGTACAGCGTGTAATGAAGCAAGAACACAGCAAACTTTTCAAAATACACTTTACAAAATCCAGTATTTCAAGGTTGGATCTGTATTTTCCGTTACAAGGAAGCTTTTTGAACTTGCTTTCCCCTTGCTTGTCTACATCTTATTTACATCCTGTCATCTAATGTTAAACCTGTGCAGTAAGTTTCTAATGAGTATTGCTGCTATGCACTATTGGCCTTTATTCTTGTTATAGATGTTGATGATATTTAAGTGTCAATTTTTACCTGATGACTGACTTGCTAGAAATTTTACATCATTTTAGAAATATTAAATATTCATATTTCCTCCCTTGATGCAGTGTTTCACCAAGCAATTCATAGCTTCTTGTATGCAATCAGCTAGTCATTATTTTACAATTTTGTTATAATGTGTCCCCTGACTGATGGTTTTAAACACACAATCAAAAGACAATTTACCCATTTTGATGTAATCACCAGGATTAAGAAAGTCTGATGTAGTGTGTATCCTTTGCCTGGAAAAAGTAAAGGGTGATTGTCCATTCTCTTCATCACCTCTTTAGCGGTAAAGGCTTTATTTTTGATGAGCAATAATCACATTGTAAGACTGCAGCTAATGTCACACACGCACACTCACTGGTATGCACATCACATATGAATAACCAATCCTTCACTGCTGCCTTAGTGACAAGCAGTTGAAAACTCCAGCACCACAGCAGAGAGGCTGCTTATACTCACTTTGAGATGGCTCGTCTGGAAACTCTCTGCACCTCAGAGATTTCCACACATGGACTGAAGCTGGAGTAAACTTCAAACTTTGAGTCCCACTGTGAACATTAACAGTTTATCCTAAGACTGGCGTTATAAGCATTCTGCCCGTCAAATCGAATAAAATCAAAAGATTGTTGCTTGGAAGAATAAAAACAGATGGTAAGCTCTGTTGTTGTCTTTAATCAAGCTTCTCCTCTTGTCCTGTGTCACAGCCACCTGCTAATTCTCGCTGCCATGGGAGAAATGAGGTTTCACACTTGCTTGTTTTTGCCTTGGAAATTAGTTCCTGAAAATGAAAATATGTGGGCTGGACTGCAGTGAGCTGAGGTTTAGTCATTATTCTGTACATGATATCGAACATCTTCTTCCTCTATCAGCACGGCCAATTTAAATTCAAATGCGTGACTGATAAGGATCCTCTCCTCTCACTTTTCATCAATCTCTTCTCATCTTTGTCCGGCTCTCAGCAACTGACATTATCTCTTTTTTTTCCCCCTTCTGCATTCTCTCAATGTCTGGGCTTTCTACAGTTTGTGGTTTGTGTGTGTGTGTGTGTGTGTGTGTGTGTGTGTGTGTGTGTGTGTGTGTGTGTGTGTTTGTGTGTGTGTTTACTGAGCTGAGGAGTTTCCTGTCGGGCCCTCTTGATTTCTTCATCTCTGCAAAATGATTCTGTCAGCTCTTCTGTGTGTGGTTTGTCAATACAGTGTCTCATGTATTTTTAGTCCTGTTTTCTAACACCTGCAAATGTGTTAATGAATATTCAAACGTTTCGGAAACACACCGTCTGCGCTCTTTGTCAGTTGTTTTTTCTAATTATTTTGACATCACATTTCTTCGTTTAATCTATCTGTTACTGTGGTTCTGCACCAGTCTGTAGCATATCGTAAATAGTCCTCACAGAATGGAGGATTTCCAAGTTGGCTACTCGTGTTTGTGTGAAATGGACAAAAAAAATGTCCAATGTGTAATTAATGACTTGGCTGGCTAAAATAGGAAATATATCATGTGCATTCAGTCCTAGTCCAGCTTGTTAAAGAAGCATGGAATGTCCACACCGCTGACCCCGTCTCTGGCAGATGATGTTCTGGTTGTAGAAGCTTTTGATGTTGTTTGAGATTCAGGAATTTCTGGCAGTTTTGAAGTCCTCCTCAGGTGAAAATCAATGTGTGTTACCCCGTTAACACATCCACGCCTGTTGTATGTTTTTTTTTACATGCTGGAAGGAATGTCTTAAGTGAAATAGGCGGTCATGGCTGAGCATTTCTGGCATCTCAAAACGACTGACCGACAGACGGGCTTTCAGACCCAATAGGTGGAAGGACTCAACCTGTCAGTGTGCAGGGTTGACTTTTCTGTTTCCATATACTTCAGATGTTTCTTTTGGTTCTGAGCATGTATAGCTGAATGACTCTTATATCACAGCTTGCCATCATGTATTGTAGAGTAGTCCTACAGTGTTTGATGAGAAATGTAGATGAGCTGGTGTGTTCAAGCTGCCGTGATCAGCAGAGGGTGACTTTATAGATCTGCACATTCTAAATCATATCAAATGACTATTAGATAGTATATAGTATATAACGCATGCAACACTAATACTACACATCCCAGAATGCGCTGCTGGTGTTGTGGCCAATGAAGACCCATCGGCGTCCCCTCCACCTTCTGTTGACATTCATTAGCAACTCTCCACATTCATTAGCCAAAGCTTTGGTTTAGGTTTTTTGCAAACTTTTTTTTTTGTGGTTGTTTTGTTGTTAATAATAATTATTTTTATTTGAGTACAAGCGCCTCTCAGGACACCCAAGGACACTTTACAAAACAAAACAAATACAAGAAGTATTAAATTACAGAGGGAAAAAAAAAAAAAACAACACAATAAAATACCAAGGTACTAAATTGGGATAAAACAGACAAAGCAGGTGCATTAAGGTGGGATGAGCAGTTCTAAACAGGTGAGTTTTGAGTCAGGGTGAATGAATCAATGTTCCTGAGTTCCAGTGGTAATGCGTTCCATAGTGGCTGGGGGAGTGGAAGAGGGTTTACTGGTTTACTGGTTAGCCTGTGAAAGAAAGGTTCAATCAAAAATAAATTTGAAGAATTACAGATAGAGAGAGTGGCATAAGAATTTTTAGTATTTTACTAATTTAAAGAAAAATAAGAAATGAATGCCACTGATGTATCTTTTGTTTGAAATTTGATTTCTCATACAATCATAATATTAAGCTTCGCTTGTTCCAGATTCAATGTTAAACTTAAGTTTGTTTCCCTATTAAAAAGTTTCTCACTGTACTGTATATCTGGAGAGAAAAGAAAATATGCACAATTGGAGCAATAAATATTGAGTCTGAACCACAACTTACTCCGTTTTTTATTTTGGCCCACTGTGTATTTGAGTTTGACACCCATGTTCTAGAGCAGGGGTTCTCAACTGGTGGGTCACGACCCAAAAGTGGGTCGCAGACCTATTCTGGGTGGGTCACGGACAGCTGGTCAAATTAAATAATATATAATGTGCGTCTCAGGTTGGACTTATTTTTTATTTTGAAAAAACTTTTATTTTGACAGGCATGGTATCCACAGTTTGTTTGACGTTCATTTCAAGTTTGTGGTGATGTTGGGATGCAAGATGGCAAAGCACAAATATGACCCGGAGTATTTAAATTGTGGATTTTCATACTGGGACTGGACCCAAATAGCCAACTATTCGGTCGCTGTGCTGGAATCGGGATATCAGTTTGGATCTCCGAATATTCCATTTTAAGGCAGTAGGGGATTATTTTCATGAAAAAACTACCTAAATAAGTAAATAAGTGATACACAGAGATATGTTGTTGTGGGTTAATTCAATGACAGGAGCGGGACTTTCACCGTAATACAAAAAAATAACTGGATGTTTATAAAACCTGCATTAAAAGAGTTGTTTTTCCACTTGGGAGCTTCACAACAAGCTACGCAGATTTTATTATGAAGCTGATATGGCTAATGCGTTACCAAGGCTATTTACACACCCAGCAAACACAGCACCTCATTAGCATTCATTTAGAGGCGTTTTTCAGACTACCACCTGACAAATTTCAATCTATTATTCACTCTCCTGAGGGAAATATCTGGCTCTTAGGCTGTTAAATGCTTCATTGTGTTCTCTATTTGTGGTTTGTTGCTGAGCAGGTAGGATAGAGGGGTTGTATGAAAGTTTTTCCTGGAGCTAACCTTTCAGCGCTGTGGAGTTAACTCATCACAGAACACCACCCCACCCTGCTGCTACACTGCTGACTGTCACTGAGGCTTTATCCTGACTCCTGACAGCCCTGGATTTAACCCAGAACGTGGTGAAACTAAACAAAAAGTAGCCAAGGTAGAGGCGAGAAAAACAAAAAAACAATTAGCTGAGTAATACCAAAAACTTTCTTGGAGCTGAGTCACCTGTGGTCATTTGATCAACTGTTAATAACAATTAAAAGCCACTGGTTCAACCCCTAAAAACTCATCTCTGTGTATCCAAGTTACATATTTAGAAGATTTTTCCCTTTCTGCCTCAAAATGTCTTGTGTAACTCTACGCTGTTGCTTCCATGTTGTCTTCACGTCCTTCTTCGCCCATTTCTCTGCCACTCGCTGCAGCTCAGCACACCAGCTCACCCACAACTCTGTTCAAACGCTGTGATACTAATCTGCACTACACAATGGCAAGTTGTAATATTGGAGTACTCCAGTCACACGTGTTTGAGCCAGACACCAAAAAAATATGAATCTGCATTTTTGAGACTATCATCAGCGCACTGCTCTGCCATGACTACTTATTTCACTCATGATAACATTTAAAAACACTGTATTGACACAAAAAAAAAATAAAAAAAAATTCTCCTTTATTCATAAGAAAAGACAAACAAAACAACCTTTGTCAATTTAATATGCGTCACTACTACACCCATCATGGTCTTGGTGACTAATGCTGGATAACGTTTGCAGCATAAGATCCTGCAGATATTGTTGTATACCTGACATTCCTGTTATTTCCTGTTAGTTTTATCTTATAGCATTTACTATTTTCCCTTAACTCCTTATTGTGGTTACAATTGCCACTTTTTGGCTAGAAGGTTCACGTTTATTGTACAATTTTTCAATACTCTGTGTTCAGTGAACTGGGGGTTTCATCATCAACACTCCTGCTTGGCTTTGCAACTAAATCCAGTTTACTACTGACTTTGATGTCTGTAACAGCCCATTGACAATTTAGGTCGCTAGCATTTGGAATTCCAGATGAAACCTAGGCTTCAGGCTATAAAGGGAGTCAAACAGGGAAGGCTTCATATGGCAGACTTTTTCATCCCTGGTGGGTTAACCAGTAAGTGAATTGCACAGTAAATGAACTCATTTGTGCTTTTCTTCCACAGGTTTCGTGCTGGATTTAAACAAGCCTTCCGCTGCTGCCCCTGTGTTCCTCGAGGCTCTTATGAAGGCCTGGAACTGAAGTCCACCCGCTACCTTCAGACTCAGACCAGCGTTTACAAGGCGAGCCGAATGGAGACCACCGTATCTACTGTCCTCCAGAGTGGGGACGACGCGGAGCAGCCCAAGGTCAAGGCGACAGCGGTTTCAGGGCCCGGTGTGGCTGGAGTCGGGGCCAGACCACATAGCTCCTCCCTGGACCTCACTTCAAACGGGTCATCATCCCGGAGTGTCTCCAAAACGGTATCAGAGACGTCCAGTTTCTACTCCAGTAACAACCTGCAAGAATAAACCTCAAGTACAGGCAGCGTTTGTCTGGACAGCAGAGAGAGAGAGTGTGAGTTGACTGTTCACATAGCTACTTTTGTCTGCGTGTATTCATGCAAAGTACAGTGTGATTGTGTGAGTTTGTCTGCTGGTGACTGTCAGTGTCTAATGAATATATTTCTGATGTGTTCACTGGAACATCATGATAGGAAATGTCTTCACTGAGCCCTCTTCCTACTCACAACATCCTGGTAGAAAGTACTCACGCTACTCACAGCTAATGATCAACTGGCAACAAGAAGATTTGCTCAGTTCCAGAAAGCAACGAGGAGCACTTCAATGACATGAGCACATTCCAGTTCAAAAGCGACGCTGAAGCAGACGCTAGCGCCTCCGATCTTCACAGCTTCTGCTTGTCACACCAGCCTTCTCTCAGTGCAGAGAGAAGGTTCACACATCCTCAATCACACAGGCTATGTGATTTCACACGGTTTATTTTGGAGTGGCGCTACAACATGAGACCAGCATGCTTTCAACAAGGCGACCCTTCGTTTTAACAGGGGCGGTTCTCTGCAAAGAAACAAAGCTTAGATTTTCAGTGTGCCGAGTAAGTGCCTGACTGTGGTTTCAGTTAAAAGTTCAACCATAAAAGGTGATGAAGACTGAAAACAAAATAGCAGAAATTCTGAACTTTGCATTTGTGAATGTGCACGTCTGTATGCGTGTGCACGAGCTGATTAAAATGCAGATTCTAGCTCCCTGAGCAGGACGTCATCGGCAATCCAGTGTGCAGAACGAGTGGATGCTGGGCTGAATGAACGCTCCGAGGATCCCCCGCAGGCAAGACTGAAACAATTCTGGCAATCAGCGGCAACGTGAGTGGTGCCTGGCTCGTCGTTCATCTGGCTAAACATCGACCAACAGCTAGCAGCACTGTTTCTGAATTGCAGAAGTGCTTGAAAGGCTGAAGAGGCAAAAGGGAACCTCAAGTGAACACTTTACTAACGTTAAAACAGCCTGTTATGAGACCTGGATCTCAGATACAGTCCACCACCAAATCCAAGCAACGGTGGTGTCTCGCCATCTGATTGAAATGGTCCAATGTTCCACAGAATTAGTGCAGTTTGAAAATAATACCTGACCTAGCAGCTTCCAGTCTGTCTAACCTGTCCCACCTTTATCAGACACATAAAACTTCATTTGTGATCTGAAAACAAGGCACTGCTCTCACAGTGATATATTTATGTAATCCTCATTAGCTGCTCCACCTGTCACCAACATGCACTCTGTATCTTATGTGGCTGGCTTACATTTATACCTTACATCTCTGGTACACACTGTTTCAGTTGTGCACTGTTAATGTGGCTAAAGTCGCCTCTGACCTCGTGTGTGGGCGACGTGGGTTCTTTCAAATAGCCACACTTTATCAGCTGTCATCCTATCAAAATACACTCCAGCGATGAGCAGTAAGATGCTTGTTAAAATGAGGGTTTAAAGGTTTTTGTAGACTTCTCAGCTTGGAATGTGCACAGGCAGCCTGTTAGTTCTTTGTTGTGCAGTGATGTGCCTTGTTGCTTAGCATAATGTCTGTAAAAGGACCAGGGGAGCACAGGAGCAGCTCACTCTGCTGGGATCCAAGAAAAGGACAGTTAGGTAACAGGGTCCTCAGAAGCCCACTGGGACTAACTGTCATAACCTCCTACAGCAGTAAACTCCCACACACACACACACACACACACACATACACACACACACACACACACACACACTGTAAAAATGAGATTTAAGTGTAAACTTCTGTTGCAATGTTCTCAATCAGTCTTAAAATGGTTTTAACAGTTTCACCAAATTTTATTGCAATGGAGTCAGGATGTTTATTTGCTTCAACTTTGGTATCTGTGAAAAAGGTTTTTCTTTGTTGTTGTTTTGTTTTTTAAAATAACTTCTTACAAGAACCAGACTTAATTAATGGAAGCTAGAATATTTTATCTACAAATATCCCTCAGTGAGCTTAACAATTAAATCCACAAGACTAACATATTTGCCATGTGCAGAACAGATACACAGACTCAGCGACACACATCCACCAACCAGCACAACTATCACTTGCAGCACACGCAAAGACAGCAAAATTCACTTGAATAGGTTTTATTCGAATATTTAATTCTAAAATCCCTGTTGTTGCTGAAACAAGGGAAACAAGGGTTTCACTTGTTTTGCACTGCTGGGAATCAACTCAACAGTTAACACATTATCACATATCCTCAGTTAAACCATGTTTTAAGACGGATATTGTTTGCAGTGTGTGTGCATAGTACAGACACGTATGTACAGAGAGTCATCACCTGTTGACACCCATCAGTGACCTTCACACACACACACACACACACACACATACACACACACACGCGTATCACAGGCCTCCTCTTCACTGCTGCTCTATTCTTAGCGCACAAAGCCTGTTGTTATGAATTCCAGTGCCATGAAAATGAGGAGCAGTTGTGACGCCACATTACTTTTTTGACAACACAGTATTATATCACAGAGTGCAAAACCATATCTAAAACTGAAGTAGGGACAGAGTGCAGGAACAACAGAAGGTCACATTCAGTGCAGAGAAAAAATGAATTTAGACAGTATTTTTATTTCACTAGTTGGCGTCACTGCAGCTGGGATTTAAAAGTATTACATTTAGAAGAGTTATTGGAAGTTCAAAGTTTTGGCCAAGTCATCGGTTCAGTGATCAGAATATCAAAATGACACCTTTGAAGTTTTGTACACATGCACATACACTATGATGAGGGGTAGGCTGGGATTTACACGCAAAATATTCAGTGGGGAACTTTTGAATACATGAATTAAAATGTAAATTTAAACTACACATTTTGGAGGTAGTTTCTATGACATTCTCTAACCCTCACTTAGAAGGAGACACAAGGATGTCTTACAGCAGTGGAAGGCAAACAGGAGTCCAGAGGCCAGATGAATCTTTTTTGCAAAAGAAATGCACCATGGCTCACTGTAACTCTGTAAACAATTACACCTGGATACAATTCTACACACATTTGTATCACTTTTATTCTTGAGCAAAAGTGAAAATAAAAAAAGAAAGCAATGTTGGCTTCCACTGTTGAAACATGCAAAAGAACTTTCTCATAATTCAAAGTAATTGTTGAGTCTCATCTTGTAAAATAAAAGCCAACTCTGTTATAAATAAAATAAATAACATTGTTAGTTTGTAAGTCCAAAATTCTCCCCTTCCATGTTCAACAAAGGTCAACTGAGCAATTACTATTGGTGGTGAAGTAACAACACACAGTAGCCAGACATAGCCAACTTTTAGTTTATGCATATCCAATGCTGTGTGATTACCAACATGCAGACTGCTAGTAGGAACAGTTAGGTCTGTACCTGCTTCCTGTTTTTTTTTTTTACATCTTTCTATGACATTTTCCTTTTCACAAATTTTCCGCTGGAAACATGGAGACACTACGTGGAATAAGTAAATGAATAATTAAAAGCCTGAATTGTTTTTCCCATAGAAAACGCAACATAACTCATAGTTGGAATACCTGCACAGCTTGTAGATAAGGTTTAATTGTTAGTTTAAATGGTTAACAGCTGCAATACAAAATGGTTTGATGACTTCAATAAGATGTGTCTTTGTTGCACCTTCCAATGTGTGGTGCAACACTTTCTTGAAAAAAAGTACTGGGTAAATCGGCCAGATAGAAAATATTTATGATAAGATCCAACTTGGTGTGTCATTTGTCAAATGTTTCCTCGGCAATATTACAGCTTTTTTCATGTAATTTTATGGCCTACTTCAAAATTTCACATTTCAGTAGTGTGCCATAATTCTATGTAGTAACTAGGACAGTGTAAATGCACCTTTAAACATCTGCCTGGCTTGCCATAAATGTTGATATTCCACAGACTGCAAAGGAGACACAATGTGCCTCAAATATAAAACGATGCTTCATGTCTTTTCCGCTTTTGAGGGCTGGTCTGTATAGTCTGTTACGGCATTTAAAAATACAGGGACACAGGAGTTGTACATGCTGAATAGTATCAAGAAACCCACTCTTGTCCAGCACAGGACTTACAGCAACATATAGTACATCTCAGTGTTCACTATAACTCAAATGAGTGTGTATGCTATACACAAGTGTTGGAGTATTGAAGAGCACTACGGCTCAGCTCAGCTCAGCCGCAGTGAGCCAGCAGAGAATGAGAACATCGTGGTTGATGTTATTACAACATAGTAATCTGATTACACTATAACAAGACCTGCGCCCTTGATGCCTCCTGCCCAGATAGAATGATTTGGACTCGATGAGTTGAACATGAGAAAGTTCTTTGTCTGCATGTAATTCTGCCAGTGAATAAGCTGATACAGTAAGCGCACATACACTCACACAGACTGTTCAGCGAACATATTCTTTCTTTTTTTTGCTGAAACAATGACACAGTTAAACATCAAATTTTGTTGATTTTTTAAAATAAGGTTTTAATATCTTTAATATAGCTTTAATATAGTTTGTAGCCATTAATCGCTCCTATGGTATTTCTTTTTGCACGTTCCACATTCCTATGTAGCTAACTGCATATCACATTAATAATCGTATTAATAAATTTGCTATTAGGTAAATTAGTCTTTTCTTTTTTCAGTGCACAACCTGCAACCTTTACCACCCTGAGAGCACTCAGTCACACTGTGGTTACAGCCAGCGGCTCCAGCTGGAGCTCGTCCCTGCTGGGGTCTAACTATGAGTAACTACAGCTGACAGTTGTGCACAACCTTTTTAACTTATGAACCTTCAATACAAAGTGACGTGTTTGTGTGACCTCTTGTCATATGATGCACTTCTAAGAGCTGTGAGGAGTTCAGTCAAAGAATGAATTTTCTGTTTTGCCTGTTCTGGAGAGGTAAAGCTACTCAAGCTTTGCTGTCAAGCAAATTCAAAGCAAACTTTTGTAATGTCATTAAAAAAAAAATAAAAAAAATCTTAAAATGAAGGTGGTGGTCGAGGCTATGTTGTAAACAGGCTGTATTAAACAGAGTAGAAGAAACCAGAGATGCATTCTAAATCACAAACTTGTGCTTTTTCCTTTCGGTACGTACTACAGCTGTCCTTACTAAGTATACACACTTTCCTGCAGTAGTCATACAATTGGACAACACTACTTTTTCAAAATATTGCACATTAGGCTTTGACTGTTAAAGCTCATATATCACAGTGTGACAGAAGACAACACGAGACAACAAAAGAAACATAAGCACTCATGCGAGTTAAATGTTTGCAACGTCAGGAAAGGTGTTTCCATCTCACACGATGCACATTCATTGTTTTTAACTCAAAAACTACCTAAAAATAGTGTAAAACTTGTCAAAGTTGCAAAATTGTCTCCATTTAAAAATGCAGAATGAAAAAGTGGCCACAAACAATAAGCATAGACTAGAGAAGATTGCAATTTTGTCACTTCTCTGACAACAGTAATCATCTTGTGACCTTTGAGATAAATCTTGTGACTTTGCTGTAAGGAGATGACATGCAGGAGTAATCTTCACATGCTCCAAGTGTTTCCAATATTCTCACACAGACACCCTTTACCAGAGGAGTTAAAGAGATAACTTTTAATTAGGTTCAGGCTTC